GTGCCTACATGCAGGGGCATCACACTTGCATCTTTTTCTCTGACTTGCCATCACCATCATTTTCTTTCCTTCGTAAGATGAAGGCCTTGTCAGCTCTGTCCCTTTGTACTGCTCCTGGCTGCTGGCTTCCATGTAAAGGTATGAGCCAAGTTCGGATTTAGCAGTTAGAGCAAAGAGCTGAATGTTCAGATTCCTCCAGAGTTCAGTTCCTCTCTCTACTCAAGACTCATGGCATGACTTTGTTTCCCACCTCTAAAGTGGAGAGTGATATCCAGCACATGGGGATCGTGCGTCTTAATGATACGAATCAAAAATGCTTTGAAATCCCTGGCTGAGAGATTGTGCAAACGGGTATATATAGCCTGTCATAATCATGAGGGTAAAATCCAGTAAGAGCAATAATATTGCTTTAGGCTTTGGGAAGAATGAAACTGGCTCAAATCCAGAAGCAAGACTTCTGAGAATCCAACATGCGCGCTCATAGTGAAAATGAAAGCCGAGTTGATTGAGGTAGCAGGCTCTTCGTCCTCACCTCCGTGTACTGGTCAAGTTGCAGCAAGGGACGTTGAGGTTGGATATTAGGAAAAACGTTCTCACTAAGTTTGTGAGTGAAGTGCTGGAGCAGGTTACCCAGAGAGGTGGTGGCGTCTCCATCCTTGGAGGCTTTTAAAGACCTGACTAGACAAAGCCTTGACTGGGGTGATGTAGTTGGGGCTGATACTGCTTTGAGCAGGGGATTGGACTAGATGTGACCTCCTGAGGTCCCTTCCAGCCCTCATTTTCTACGATTCTACTGGTCTCCCAGAAAGACTGGAGCTGGACGTCTTTTTTTTTTTCTTTCTCCCTCTCCATAAATTGAAGACATGTCATTTCTTTTTTGTCCCAGGACATGGTGCAGAGTGAAGAGCACAGATAAAGAACCTTCCACCACTCTACAAGACTACCCCAACTGCCCTGACAACTTCATGCAGCTGGACAAAGCCTGATGCCCTCAGCGCATCCTGCCATGGACGGGGGGAACAGCTATCCACAGCATGAGCACCAGCAGTCAGGCAATACCTTATACAGTGTGCCTAATCTCCAGGCCCAGCTCGGTGTACCTGCCATGGAGGTGAGAAGGGTTGTTATGGAAGCTAGGGATAGATGGGTTGTCGCTAGAAGGCTGACAGCATTGTAACACGATGGTAAAACCTTGGGAAACAGTGTCAGTGTTTACAAGAGTTTCATAGATTCATAGCTGTTAGGGACTGGAAGGGACCTTACAAGATAAATTGACTTTTTGAGGCTCCTGTCTAAGGGTGGGGTGAAATATTGGTTCCTGGTTCTAAAGCTTGGTGGTAAGTGGCCAGTTTGAATCAGGGGAGAAAAAGCAAGGTTGCAATTGGAATGATGTAAATTTAAAGACCGTTACATCACAGCCTGCTAAGGCAGGAGAGGAGGAATTTACACTGATTGCCAGCTTTCTGTTTGCTTCTATCCCTGCTGGTCCATAAAGCTGGCACTCATTCTAACTTTGCCTTTTTGGGCACTGCTGGAGGACTGAGTTGTATTGTATTTGCAGTTTTGAGCCCTATGCAGGATTGTGTCCCTGTTGTGACATGTGGTACAAACACGCAACAAAAATGTGTTGTTAATAGCTTGGATTCGAGAGAGCACCTGTCCTGGACTATTGTTTGTTGGTTTCTGATTGTAAGGAATCTCTGCCATTTTCCTTAAGGTTGTGTCCACCCGCTAACCTGGTTGCTGGGAGAGGGGTCAGTCCCTCTTGTTGCAGCCCAAAAAGTTTGGGTGGAAACGATTGCAAGGGTTTCAACTCAAGTTGTTATGGAGCCCCTGAAAATCAGGTCCCTGCCATGGGGCTTCCCAGGGCTGAAGCAGCCAAACTCGATCCTCATTTCTGAAAAAAATGTGGCTTTTGTTTTCAGTGGCCTTCAAACATTTCTTTAACTTCCCCCCCCACCTCCCAGTTCTACGTGCCTCAGCTGAAATTAGGTGCTTTTCTTGCCACTCCAGTCACCTTTATCTCAGACCCAGGCTTCAGTCCCTCCCTTCACTTCCTGCCTCCCTCCCCCTCATGTTTACCAATCTGTAGCCAGGCAATTATAGCTTGAGATCTGCATTTTGCCTTAATTAAAAGAAGAAAAAGCCCAGCTCTCCCCATTTCATTATGTAAGCCTGCATCCCTTTGGACAGCAAATGACCGACAAAAGAGCCTTCTGTCGGGAGCTGAGAGAGGATGTCGCATCTTGTTCAGTAAGCATGGCCAGTGGAAACTAGCGCTTGCAGCCTGGCATAGCAATATGCACAAGTCCTTGGCATTTCCCTGTACAGGCTAACTCCAGGTTAGAAGATGTAGTATCCAGTTTCCATGACGTTTTGAGATTAAGAATAATCTCTGAGGATAATGATCCCGAGACTCTTTGTGGAGTGAATGAAAACACACCAGGACCTTCAAGTCAGAAGTGGTGTGTGATCCATGACTACTTCCGCTCTACAGGATGATGAAAAGCCACTTTTTTTATGTGGTAAGGGGAGGGAGGTCATAAGATAAGGCTTGAATTCCCAGCTACCAAAGTGCATTATCAAAGTTGTGGTTCTGTGCCGGTGTCATTCTTTTAATGGTGTTGTGTTTTCAGAACTCGATGCTGGGTTCGGACTGGTGGAATAACTTCTGTTTACCTGCCCCTTACTCGACTCCATCTTTCTCAAGTGAAACCCAGTGAGTATCGCTCTGCTTTCTGTAATTCTCCATACACGCGACCCCAGTGATTCAACTGTTTCTTCAGTGCTTTCCTCGTTTCATGCAGTAATGGGGAAATAATTGCGTCATGCCGTTCCTGTGGCATTTCGCAAACTGCTGCATCTTGGAAAAGCAGCAAACAGCTTCTGTGAAAATATGAGAAACTTTGATTTCATGTGAACTTTGATTTAGGGGGAGAAAAGGCCTTGGGCTAGTCTAGATTTGTTACACTAATGGAGTTCATAAAATGTACCATTAGTACAATCTAGCTGTACTAATACATCATGCAGCATGTAGTTTTATATGGACAGTGCAGGGAAAAAGGGAAGGTATTACTGCTCTGGGGAAGGTAAGTGGCACGTTTATGGGTGAAGTGGTATTAAAAGCTATGGCCATGTAGATGATCGGAAGCTAATCATACTTAATAGTATCACCCCTGCTAAACCGAACTCTCATTTTGAATTGTGAGCACATTTATTTCCAATATGTGCATGCCCTTAGCTGTGCAAGCTGTAATGTGTTAGGATCAGTGTATTTTTCTCTGGTTGTAATTAAACTCGTTGCTAGTCCTGCCAGGTCTGAGGTGGTGAGAGGTACGGGCTGGTGTGAGAAATTGTCACTTCCTTCTAAGTAAACGCTTGCATCCTGTATAGTTAAATCTTGTAAATGGTACACCTCTAACGGGTTTCAGTGAACTCTGCCTGAGAGCACTTGATAAGAATTGTGGCTTACATTTTTCCTTTGTAGAGTCAGTGTTAAAACTTCTGCATGATGTCTTGAAGTACTTTGACCGGTGACGTTTGGGTGGTTCTTTGTGTACAGTACATTCTGCCTAAGCCTTTGTGAATGCCACTCCCGTGTCCCCTCATTCCCCCACAGGCCCTTGGCCCTGGTTGGGTCAGAAAGACACAGCTTCTTTGGATTGTCTCCATTTGGGGGAAACTGGTAGCTGGGTGACGTGTTTAATAGCTGTGCAGTGTGCTGCCAGAGAATGGAGGCTGAGATTGGGGGTACCAAAGGCTGAATGCTGGGGAGACACACAAATGGATGTCTTGTCACTTTGTCAGGGAAGTAGCATCCATTTTTGGCTTCTAGTGAGAGGGTTGTCTGGGCAAGGGGGGAGCTGGTGGAAGAATAACAAAAAGTGTCCAAATAGGCAAAACTGAGCAAAGGTGTTTGCTTCTGGTTGAGTCCCTTTGGTGCCATCCAGGGGTGCAAGGCTTTTTGCTCAGCCTCTCACCTAAAGGAATTCGGTGTCTAAAGAAAGCAGAGAGCTTCATTCTGATCACCACCTCTCTTGGTCTTAGGCTGCGATTCCCAATCCAATAGTCAGTTTTGAAAACCTAGCTTGCTTCGTTTGGCTAAAACCAGTGCTTTCTCTCTGTTTTCTTCTCCCCTCCTCATTCCACCTCAGGGTGGAAGGCAGGTTAGCCAGCAATTAAAGGCTGGACAGAATCGCAAAGCAGACTTTGCCAGGAGATTACCAGAACCCTGTTGCATGTGTGGCAGACGGCGTCAGGCCTCCTTAGTTACTCTGCACCTTGCCAACATGAGCAGGAGTTATTGAATAAGTTGAGTCCCCCTGCCCGGAGCTGGTCTGTCAGTGCTTGGAAGAGGGTGTGCTTTTGAAGCCGATTCTTGTAAATTAGACTTTCTGACTCCTCCAGGGAGCTGTAACTGAATTTCTGTGCTGCTGTATTGAACCACAAGGTTAGCTGGGATTTATCTATCGGGTTTTTTTTTTCTTCTGCTGTTTGACCACTTGCTTTATTTCTATCCTTCACTTTCTCGCTGTCTTAGTGCTAGTCTTAGCATCCATTGTGCTGGCGACGTTATTTATTATACCACTGGCCCTGCTAAGACTCAAGCACATACATCACTTGACGTGCACGGATTAGACCCATTGACTTCACTAGCACTGCACATGTATGCAAAGTTATACATACATGCATCTTTTCAGGATTGAGGCCTCTCATAGCACTTACTTGCTAGTGGAGGCTCTGGTTATGGTTGCAGTTTTAGCTTCCTCTTTTCAGATGTTCAGCAGAGACAAAAAATCACATTATAGATGATTTTGTGCATTTGCTTACCTTATAACTGGTGCGTTTTTGGATAGCTTAAACAACAGCATCTTGATGCCCATCTTGCTGGAGTCATCTGACCCCAGCAGTCTTTCCTTTCCAAGTGCACTGGGGCTGGACCTGATGATCTGTAAGGTCCTTTCCAGCCCCTAACAACTATAAAACCAAGTTGAGGTGTGGAGGGCATGCTTATTTAGGGACACTGCAATGGAAGAGTGACATTGACTTCAAGATATTTCTCTTCTGAACCTTTCCCCTCAATTATTATGGCACTAGTTTTTAAAAAAAAAAACTATTTCTGCTCTCCCATTTGTTTGGGAAAGGTGTTGGATGGAGCTGAGAGCAAACATGCTTTTCTTTCTTCTCCTGCCTGTCTCTCTTCCCGGTATGCTCCTGTTTGCTGCGTGCTTATCTTGAATTTCAGCTCAATAGCTGGTATCACTGCTAAAAAGCACGATAGGTTTCAAGAGAAAGCTTGGCAGCCTCAGCAAAGCTGCACAAAAAGTACTGTTCAGTGCTTAAAGGAAGCCAGCTGGAAGAAGGGAAGAAAATAGAAAGTTGCCTCTGATCCATCGGTTGCAGAATCCTTCGAGAGATTACGTGTAACCTTCATAGGTACACCAAAGCCTGCTATCTCATAGTAACGCTGACCTAATTTTAGTGCTGCAGGTGGAAGACACCTTGTGAAACAAGTAAAAATACAGCAAGGCCAGCCTTGGGGAGGGAGTGAATCTGAACCAGCTCTGCCCTTGTGCAGGCTCCTCTAGAAGCAGTCTTGTTTGCAAGTGGCTATATTTGGACATGGCTTATTCTCCCAGCAGCAGCTTTGTCCTGAAGCAGGTTTTTCCTGTTTACTTACCAGCTTTCAGGCTGCAGAGAATGTGGTTCAACAAAGATAGTAAAGTTTGCACCTTTTAGAAACCCTTGCAAAACGTTCCAGTGCAATAAAAGTTGCTCCAGCTAAGTCTCAGGTGGGGAAGTGGAGCAGGAGGGACTTTACATAGAAAAATGTAGTATACATTTAGTATTTTTTAAGGCAGCCATCTGTCTTGTCTCTGGGCTCTTGCTAGAATCCTAGACATGATACTTAAGATTGCATTGCTGTGAATAAAGTATCTCCATTGATGCCAATGGTATTATGTTGGTATAACTCCCTTGTTGTCAACTGAGTTAAACGTGCCAGACCACTGGTGTACAGTCTCTCTCAAAACTGGAAGCAATGCTTTCCTTTCTCACTTCCCCACTGCCTTGGGATAAAAGTGGTTGTACTAATGAATTGTGGAGCAGACACTGGAAGAGCATTTGGTGCCATCTGACAGGGATGAAGGGAAGGGCTGAGCTGGGTGTCAGTTCTGGAGTGAGTTCTGTAGCCAACAGCCCGTGGCTGCTGAGCCCTATTACTGCTGATCTATGGAGGGGGAATATCAAAGCATGAATGCCAGATAAAGTGCAAATAAGCAGTCTCGGCTACAAGCAGGGCAGACACCAGTAAGGGCTTCAGATGCCAACAGGACGTTCGCAAGCAGCTGGGACAAGGAATGTAGCGGAAGCAGAATATCAGAGTTGTTCAAACAAAGGTTGCTGTAGCCGGCTGCTAAGTGACAGAGAAACCACCTGCTGGAGGGATCAGCCGTGCAGCACATGTTGCCACTAATGATGCTGCTGCAACTTGGAGACTCACTTATTGAGGACTTTGGCAGAACCGAGGACACGATCAAGAGTTTAAACTCACTTTCTTGTTGGAGAAATAAGCCTCTCCTGAGAGCAGCTGGCTGGATAGATATCAGATGATGTAGGCAAGTCGAGCTTAAATTGGTGTGTATTGCTCAGAGGCCTTGGTGTGGGTAAACAGCTTTATTCCTCACTCTTCTTGATCAATTGGCTGCAAGAGTATCTCCTTCCAGACTGTCTCTTTATCTAGCTCTTCATTAGAGTCTGTAGCCTCAGTCTTCCTTGACTTTGTCCAAGAGCTTGTCCGTATCTTCAGTGTCCGTCAAATGCAGAGATTTTCTTATTGAGCGTTTGGCAAGTCTCTGTTCCAAAAACATCTCTCAGGCCCACTTACACTGCTCTTACAAAATGAGCTCAACACTGTTAGTACAGCCGGTGCTGCCTGGAGGGTTAGGGTGCAACAAGTCTTTGCCCTGTGCCCTGAAAGCTGACAGTGGGGGCTCTGCCCACTGAAGAGAGAAGTTCCTGAATTGATAGTGCCCTTCCTCTGTCGAGCAAGCGTGTTATCAGCTGGCCTGAACTCCATATAAGCAAAAGCTGCTTTGAGCTTCATTCCCAGCTCCTCATATTATAGCTGTCAGAGATGAAAGGAATATTTCAGGGCCTCCGGCTTATCCTTTCAGCAAGGGCAGGATAATTCTTCACAGCAAAATAGCTAGTACTTGGTTGTTGATTTAACATCAGCAACATGCTTGGCTGTATCTGCTGTGTAACAATACCGCCCTTTCCCAGCTGTGGTAAAAATTGTCAGCTCCGCAGAAGATGGGCTGAAACCCCTGGAGAAGTCCGGAGCTGGGGACCACATGGTGGGTGAAAGTCTTAGTTTGAAGGTCTCAAGTTGACCTGCTTCCTCTCCACTCCCAAGATTAAATCCATCCTAGGTTTATAAATGTCCTTTTTCTTTAGAGCCAAATCTTTGAGCATGGTCCGAGTGGCTCAGTTTGGGTGAGGAATGAGGCATTTCCCTAATACATACCTCTTTGGAGGAACACACAGGTCAGTGAGAATGAGAGTCTTTCCATTTCTCTGCTTGTTCATTTTAGATATGATTAGCTGTTTACAAAAAACAAAACAAAAAAACACATGCTTTGAAAGTGGCTCCAAGTACCTCCTTTGGTCCGGTACATGCGTTGCAGATGAAAACTGCTTGTTCTGAAAGTGTGGATGAGTGAAGCTTGCTATCGAAAGCAGAAATGCAACCTCTTTGGTAGAGGCGCACAGCTGATCTGCTCCAGCCTAGCAGCCCTTGCTCCTGTCATTCAGAATGATTCACAAGTGAACATAGTTTGAGTGGAAAAGGCCCCTTTTTCATTAATCTGAACAGACACGGCATCTCTCACTTCCTCCACCCCAAAGAAATTGTAAAGGCCGAGCAGACTGGTCCAACTGCTCAGATGGTTAACACTTGTTGCAGTCTCACCTGAGAGCTACCTCTAACCAAATTGGCTTGTAATTAGGCTGAACAGTAAGCACTGGTGTCTAATTTGCAGGCTCGTAACAATTAATCGGGTCTGGGCCAGTAGCTCAAATGATTTTAAGTGCTCTCTCTGAATCTGATTTGCATACTGCAATCCCGTTAGTTGATGCGAGTCAGAATCGGGATGTTAACATAATGTTCCTGTTAATCTGTTGCTCGAACCCAACTGCCTCCCGCATGGCTCCAGCCGTCGCTGCCCCGAAGGGTCTGGGCCGGAAGCAGGCCCCGGAGCTCCTGCACTGATGGCATGGGGCCGGTTTCGTGGCAGGGCAAGGTGGATGCCTCCCTGGGGTTCAAGGGGCCTCGGTGGCAGGGCATGGATTTCTGGGGGGGCTGATGGTGGAAGACAGGTGCCCCATGATTGATTCTCTCCCCTTCCTAATCAAGGTGTGATTAACACTTATGCTGGAAGATTGTAATTTGCTTTTTTGGGCCTGTGGGTAAGAAGCTGCTTCAGTGCCTTGCTGCAGTATGTGACAGTGTTGGGAGGCAGGTGGTAGCAATTTATAAGGTGGTGAGAGAAGCTTTCTGCTGCTCCTTTTGGCACTGTCTTCTCTTTACTGATGTGGCAGAAGGGGAGGATGCGAAGGAGAGAACTGTGTGCTCGTTTGCGCATCACTATGCCGGGTGGGAAGCCAATCCTGTGTGCATGTCTTCTCGCTTGGGCAAGCTGTGCTAATGAACAGCTAGGTATGCGAGACTCTTTAGTAGCTTAATAGTACTTTGGCTGTCCGGTACTTCCCATTTCCTCTCTCAGATTTTTTTTAGTGGCTTGGAGCCCATTTCTATGGGTGCTGCAGCCCGGAGGTCACAAAGAACACAAACTTTCCATAGAAGTGAGTCAGTCAGAGCATGCAAAGCCTTTAAATAGCTGTAACATGAAAATGTATTTAGGTGAGGATTGCCCAAGCCTTTTGAGTGAACATCTTTTACGGGAAAGATGACCGGGCACATTCCTTTGCCTTCCAGAAGCCAAAGAAAGAGTTAACATGTGCAGTGTCTGTGATAGCAAGTGCTATGGAGGGCAGAGGCTACCCCCCGGGGAGAATGAAGGGAGTAATTCTGCTTCTCTTATTTCCTAACTCCTCCTACCTGCCTCGCGTTCAAAGGAAGTGAACTCTGGGAGAGTTGGGTGCGTTTTCTTCTCCAAGAACCTGGTATCAGGAGACCTTTGCTTTGTACACCAGCTGGTGTGACCCAGAGATTGTGGAATGTCAATCAGATAATGATGATAAGGTCAGAAGTGATTCATCCCCATACAGCTTCCTGGGTTAATAATTCTGTGCACAGTTGTAGGTCTCCATGTCTCTAACGTCCACGTTTCCAAGCTATAGGACTCCTACCTCTGATCATAATGCGTCCATGCTAGCTGAGAGTTGTTGTCTGTCCTTGCATTTGTCCTAAGTGCAAGGGGGGAATTTGTCTGGCTCTTTCCTGCTTTGCAAAATGGTCAGTGGTGGAGCTGCGGGGGCGGGACCTGTGGGTTCTGTTGAGTGAAGGAGGGTTCAGGTTTGAGATGCCTTTTGTGAGACTTACAAAAGTAGCATGTAAGGCTGGGGCCTCCATTGTGCCTTCCAAGCATCACTTTGATGTCTCTTACTGTGTGGCATTGAGATTGAATTATGAGCCTGTGACACCTGATCTCATCATCAAAACCACAATTTATACAAGTATCTGACAGCTGAGTTCCTGGTCTCTTGATTATGGTACAACTTGGTGGAATACTGCACTAGCTTTTGATCCATTGGAGGAGAATATCACTGGTCGGCTCTGTCTTTTTGTCCTATAAATGTCCATGCTGCATATATTAAAATCAGTCTATTGCCCTGAAGAACTAGTCTACCACACAAGGTGGACAGTGAAATGAGTTGGGGAAACTCAGGACTGTCAGGAACTAACTGCTTTGCTTATCTCTTTGCAGGCAATATTTTAATACCACTTCTGATTATTACATGAATCCCATCAGCAGACAACCTTTCCCGGAGACGAACTATACATCTGTGGACACTGCTGACTTCTTACCAAAAAATGGTGATTTTTCTCAGGTAGGCATCTAGCTTTCTGGAACTGCCTGTCTTCAGATGAATTTCCTATTATGTGATATGGGATCATCCTTCATTATTCTTTATGCTAAAAAGGGAGGAGGAGGGACTGTAGTTCTTGCTTGCACCTTGGATTTGGGTACATGTGGAACACTGTAGGACTGGTGCTTTAGTAGCATTTCATTGGCTTGGAAACAGCTCGGAGGAATTCAGGTCAGTGTGACAAATGCTACCTGTGGTAAATTAATGCATCATACACACCAAAGGTGGAGGAAGGGAAAGTGGAGAAAAAGCACAGTTGCCAGGAAGGGTGTAGGAAGGTATTAGTGAAAGAAGGCCCCAATTAGTTAAGCCATCCCGTAATTGCTTCTGTTTGGGTCCTAGAATTTTCTTCACTTACATGTGTTGCATGTGCTGTTATCTTGCACCGTAGAAGGGTCGAGTTCATAAACAGTGAAGCTTTATAGGGGTGTAAATCCCATAGAGTTGCACCTTTCAGGGACATCATGAAGTCCAGCCACTCCTCCCTCTGGAGCATGCTTCTGTGGGCCGAGAGCGAGAGGGTCTGCAGTGCAGCCGCTGTCCTAGTTTGTTTGGTATCTTTGAGGACTGGTAGACTTGCTCGTCTCCCTGGGGATCTCGTTGGTATGAACTGAGCTCAGTGGGAAGGGTTTGAAATGTCAGACTTGGCTCTGGCCATGTCTGCCAGGAAGGTTGGTCAGCAAAGACTGGGAAATGACTTAGCATGTGACAGAGCTGACTAAACTAAGGAAAAAGTGGTTAAATCCCTCCCAGGGGTTCACAGAGGCATTAGCGGTGTCTGGCTGCGGGAACTCTTTGCATTAGCTTGTCCCAGTGGACCCCACCGGGATACATGTAAGCAAAGCTAGAGTGAGTTGCTCTGCTGACCCCTCAAGACAACAGCTCAATTGAGGTTAATTCCAGATACCCAACCCCTTGGCTTGGTGTGTGGATTAAACCACCCGTTATTCAGTGGGAAGCCTGCAGTGTGTTACATTTGGTACAGCTTCCCCACCTGAACGGGCATATGCCACTGCACTCTTTCTGTATGATCTCAAAATGCTGTATTGAGAGAATTGCAGCTCAAGGAAAATGGTGCGGACAAATCCAGTTGGGCCCAGTTAGTGCTTCAGCTGTTCCTAGTCTGCGTGCATCCCCAGCCAACTGGGTTTGACTTTCCTTAGTCTCCTGCTCCATGCACCGTAGCAGAATCCCAGCAGTGCTGGTGGAAGCAGCAATCCCTCGACTGCACAGCCTTTAGGAGTGAACATCAAGAAAAGGGTGGGATTTTGAAGTCATGGCAAAGTCAAGTGAGCGTTTGGCTGCTGCTACTGCAGGAGACTGAGTGAGGGAGCATGTCCAGATTTGGAAAAAACCACCCCCGCTGAAGACTTTTAAGAGAATTAATAATGTTTGTAGCTGTTCAGGAAAAGATAAAGGGAATCAAATCTCATGCTTCAAGATGCAAACTGCTTGAGGGTCAGGTAGGATTTCACCCGCGTTCAGCAGTATACAGTTGATTACATAATGTGCTGGGGAATTCTGTGTCTAAAGGCAGGATACTTGAGCTGCCTGTATGCTCTGGTGTGGAAATGCCCCATGATACCTAAAAAATTAGCTTTTGCTACATGGCTGTTGCTTCTGTTTGTCCCAGACATTCAGAATTACCTTTTAAGCAATTTTTGGGTGTTTTCCTTGAGATGCATTGAAGATACCTGGTCTCGAGCAGGGAGCGCTGAGCAGTTTCTGAAAATCGTGTTCCCCCTCCAAGGTGTCCCGATGACACTGGTGTCCCAAACCCTGGTCACTCCTGAAACATGGGTCTGATTTTTACGTTTTGTTACATGTGCAACCAAGGAGGCCTCTAGTCTTAAACCAGCCGGGTTGCAAAGCCCGCACAGCCTCTCATGGAATTTGGGAATTGGCTTATTCTTATGTGGCTCTTGTCTCATTCATTCTTTCGATTTTAGTTGAGAGAGAATCGGAGGGACCCAGTTCAGAACTAAGTAAATGGGTATGTTTTCTTCATCCATGTGAAGACTGACACATTCATCTGGTCTCAGTAGGCCAGTGAATTCACTGCGTGCCCTCCAATACACCCATAAAACCTCCCTGGCATCAGTGTGCAGGGGAAAATGATCTCAGAATCTGACTGAGCGCTTGTGTATCATGCCCTAGCTGTGCTCTGCCAGTTTGAAAAACAAGATTTCAGCAGACCCATTAAACTGCTGTGCACTTCATCCAAGCAGCTTTTTTCCCCAGTAGCTGCCGAAGACCAAGATACGTTTATAAACGGAAGCTTTCTCCTTTGTAATCAGCCTCTTCCTCTCGTGTGATTCATTCAGGGATGTCTCAGCTGTTTGCTTTGTTGCGAACAGCAGTCTCACAAATGTGGGATTATGACAGTAAATAAATAGAGCAGGAAGAGTTTGTTGACCGTGCAAGAGGAACCATCTATTCACCAATATCAAAGCAGCAAATAAAAAGCAGTGCAGTAATAAAGAGGAGAGTAAATTTTGCACTTCCTTCATCTCTCCAAAGAATGGGACCATATCCATTCTGCAAACACAGTTTCAAATGTGTTGGACTCCACCTAGCTCTGTGCTTCATTGTTGGGTTTTTTTCAGTGCGTCTCTGAAGACACTACAAGCCTGCAGAGGATTCAACTTATTGGGAGCCAACCGTTGGCATGGCAGTGCTCATGCGACTGCCCAAGGCAGAGTTGCTGTAGGACCCAATTTGTACCAGTATAGTTTAGCCCTTAAACAGTGGTGGACTGCATCAAGGGGGGTCACTGTTAATAGAGGCTTGATCTATGCAGTGGTGCAGCTACTAAGGTGGAAGCTCACCAGTGCTGGTTACTGGAACAAAACCCTGCTGTTGACCAGTACTCCATCTGATAAAATCAGCAGCTAAGTTGATCCAAAATCTGTAGAGCTTGACTTTCTGCAGAATGTGGGAGACTTGAGACAGGACCGGGAAGAAGCTTCATCTTGGAGGCCTTTTCAGTAAAACGCATATGGCTGTGCTGGGAATCATCTGCTGGGTTTCATGGGCAATAGGCTTTGTTGTCTCTTATTGCTGTGTATGCAGTGTCTTCAGCCAAAGGAACTTGCCTTGGGTTGAGAAATTGGGCAGGAAGCTCAAGAAATTGGAACGCTAGATAAAAAAAATATTGGCCCGTGTGTTTATTTGATGTCCAGTGCATCCATAACAGGTTCCTACTTTTAATGTTGTTGTGTACAGTATAGTAATGGTCAGGACCAGGGCCCTGTTTGAATAGGTGCTCTACGGGCGTATCTGAAGACACCATCTCTGCCCAAGCTCACAATCGGAGAACATAGCCTGCAGGAGAATGGAAAGCAGTGTCAGATATGTGAACATGTGCCCGCTGCTTCTTGGGTTGGTTTTCTTGCTCACTTGTTTCCAGTTCTCCACCATCATAGACACTGGCCTTCAAATGAAGGGGAAAAGTCTTCCTTGTTCTGACACCAGTTGAGTGTTGAGTACATCCTTTACCTCCTAGAGATTCATGCCTACCTTGGTGTTCTTTAGAAATAGTTTTGTGTGACTCTCTGGCTTTGACCTAGCTTGGCCAACAGTCCTGCTCAGCTTCATTCTCTCCTTGGGACAAGGATCTCCTGATCCTTGATTGTTTTTTATTTCATGACCTGTTTCTTTATCCAAGTATTTCTTCACTTGACATGAGCAATCTAGATTGAGGTCTCCAACGCTCATTCCATAAACTTGCACTGTATCCTCCTTATGCCTTCCATTCAGCTGGCAAGAGGTCCCTATTTTAAACCTCACCCTGTTTGTGCTTTATCTTGCATCCCCTTTGATACCTTTTTATTGCTCATTTTCAGCATGCTCTGCACTTTGCAGGCAAAGTTCACCATCCCTGTCCCAAAGTTCTCACTCTCTAAATAAAACTAAGAGAGGACTATCATTTGGTTACTCACATCTGTGATTAAAGTTACCCAGGCACTACTTTTGCCATATTCTTCTCTCCCTCCTCTGATGTCACCTTGCTGATAGTTTTGGCAGGACTGGGTGCTAGGGATATATTGGTCAAAACATCTTCATTTATTAAATCTGCTAGCGAGCCTGTTGGTTCAGGAGGTCTCTGGTTTTGTCAGGAGTAGATGGATTAGAATGTAAACCACTTTGCTCCTTTCTAGGTAAAAGCTCAGAGGCCAGTTTGGAGTAGTTGCGCTCCTGTTTCAAATGCAACATGGCGAGTCAGACGGGTTGTCCCACTTCCTTAGTGCGTGGACAGGTCTTCTGTGAGGGTTGACTGGGGTCCTGAGCTATCCTGATGATGCCCAGTTTTATTAAGTCGCAGCCAGTTGTGCTGGCCTGGGGTGAGTGCCAAACCAAAGTTTTTGTGGGTGACTCTGGGCTAGCAGGCAAGGTAGCCACAATGCAGCCAAGTCAGGAAAAGCACCTTTGAAGATTATCCCTTGGGCTTGAATGCGGTGTGGAGCTGATACTCGTGATGCCCAGTCTCAGTCCTGCTGTCTTCCTTGCGCTGCACAAGTCCAGATTTGTCCTTGTGGAGTTCAGCTTCTTTTCCTCGGGCGTTTCTAAACCAGATGAGATGCTCTTGGTTTGGGATTAAGGCTCAAGCGTGAAGCTTGCCGATGAGGTAGGCGAGCTGTTTGCAGGGCTGTTCTTGCAGTGGACTTTGATATTCTGCATTTCCTTTATTGGCAATAAGGCACCTTTCATGTTAGCTTCCAGATCAAAAGCACTGGTTTCTGTTGGTCTGCACCGTGTTCCTTGCTGTGGCTCTCAGAGCTCTCCCCTTGTTCATTTTTATTCTGCTTTTCTCCTTGATCCTGCTTTTGTCAAGAACGAACAGCTGATTGAAGTTCCCCTCAAATCTGTGCTGGCAGTTTGATCCCTTTCATTTTGCAGTGGTGATTTTTGAAAGCTTTTCTTGCCACATCTTAGTCAATGATTGGGGTTATATGCCTCGT